AGTGTCATTAATATAAATATATACATGCCACAACTGCAGAACCGGTCACCAGGACTAAACCAGGACTGGACCATGTTTGAAGCAGGACTAAACCATGACCAAACCAGGACTAAACCAGGACTAAACCAGGAGCACAGCTGTCGGGCTGATTGCCTCCGCTGATGGTTTTATGTAATAAAAACACCAAAGTCTGTCTCTGTCTGGTCCATCTTTCCGGGGAAAAACGGGAATTGAACAGACGTCCTGGATGCACGTCAGGTATTTCACTCCCGTTCATCTTTCATTTGATTCACCTGACCTGCCCATGTGTAATCACTACCCGCCCACATACTCACCTGTAAAATTCAAAAACATTAAAACCTGCACGTTTCAGCAACTATTTGCGGTACCCGTTGAGTATTTGACCCGGTGCAGGACTCTGTCTCACAGTGGATTGAGTGCAGAGTTTTGATACTTTGTTGTGGCATCATTCTGGGGGTGTTCTACATGTAAATCTATGGCTGAAAATCCATCTGTTACTGTGGCCTGTCTGCCAGTCTTCACAGCAAATAATTTCAATACGGATTCCAAAACTTATTTACACTTTAAAAGAAAACTGGTGCAGTGTCTCCATTAATTTCTCCATTGAAATTAATGGGATCCCCCTTTAACCAAAAGAGCTACCATACAAACGTGTGGTGTAGTAGATTTAGAGGCAAAAGTGCTAAGTCCTAAACTTAAGCCCTGATCTTGAGTGTCCATGTAAAGCTGTTGCGTAATAATGAGGCCAGGATCCTTTTGGAATGTCGTCACCTCTTAAGACATAAATGTAGTAAATCTCCTCTGCACAGCGCTGGCCTATTCCAACATGTCTCTATTTAGATGTGCTGGTTTTTCCGACAGGTCATATGTGTGTTTTGGGCTGCGAGAGCGTCGTCTCATTGAGCAGACGCAATGAACTTGATTGGTTATTTATTTAGGCGATATTGTGTTCTCCGCAGATCTCCTACATGATGAAATGGTCGTCCCACCTACACGTCAGGCTCAGAGTCTAGTCAATGGAGGGAAAGCGGGGTTAGTGAGTTAATATTTGGGATTGCTAAATTCAGGCCAAATTGGAGTGGTCTTATCGGAACCGGGCGTTTTTTGAAATGATTGCAAAAGAAATGTTTGAGCGCCGCTACAGGCAGTCGTGGCTCCAATGTCAACAAAAAATAAAGAGCCTGCGAGCCAAACACAAGGAGGATAAAGACTCAAACAAACGACGCGTCCATGGATGTGTAACCTGTCCATTTTATGAAGAACTGGACCATATTTTGGGAGACAAGCCCAGCGTTTATATCCAGGCTGGTGCCACCTAGTGCCTTCACTCAATTTCATTTCTCTCCAGCGACTAGGTCAGGAATTGGAAGCCCCGGAAGTTGTAGACCGCATACCGAGCAATCAGCGAAGAGCTGTGAAGCCATGAGCGCCTGTCTGGGTCCCTTTGTGGTACAGCACAACAGTAAACAAAGCGGTCGAGATGGATGTAGACGAAGACAGACATTCTGTGTTGGTGACGATTCCAGAGATCGAGGATTTAAAGCCGGAACAAAGAGAATATTTGGTGAATTTTATCAAGGGGAAAGACGTTATTGCCCTTCTTCCTACAGGATTTGGGAAAAACTTAATATCCCAGTTAGTCCTGTTAGTGGTGCTTTACGTACGTCATGACCATCAAGTGAACAAATCCTAATGCTGCAAGGTCAGACAGTTTCCATGAAGTGAAACCAGCTGATGAACCAGGCTACAGTGTTTATGCGACTTCCATAAACACTCAGCACGCTCGGTGTGTGTGAAGTCTTCGTGTCCTCCGATGCTCATGCGGGACACTTTTCGGGCATTTAAAGTTCACACTGGAGATCACATACAAGTCACATTTAATTGGAAATGTGAACAACCTGGCAAAATAATCGGATTTCACACAAAAAATCCAAAGTGAGCATGAAGCGCTGCAGTCTGAACATAGCCTTAGACGACTGCGGCATGTCGGAATAGCAGCATGTAACCCATTTTAACTACACCCTCAGACAACATTTTTGCTTTTGACAACTGTCTCTGTTTAAATTTGGAAATAAAAACACACGTACATTGCTTGAAATCATTTTCCAGCTCTTTTTAAATTATGTAATCACAGCATATAAACACATGACCTGCTTTTTTTTTTTACTAAATATGTCGTCTTTCGTACACCTCCAAGGTAAACGCACCGGTTATATTCCTTTATATTTTCTCATATTCCTTTTTTGTAATTTCCCATGCGTTTTCCGTTGCTGACACAAGCAAATAAGTGCAAAAACGAGATTTGAACCAACTGAGCAGAACAACAATAACAGAATATAGACGGAGAAAATGCATTGTCCTCCTGACTGTTCCTGAGGCCACTGTGAGCCCAGGGCCGCCCTCCGGTGATGCTGCTGACACAGACACAGGCACAGGACAGGGGAAAGTACAGCTCTCACAAATAATGAGCGCTTCTGAACAAATAACTCAGACGCAGTTTTTGTGCCAAACATGTCACAGTGTACAATGTTTTTTTTCATCGTAAACATGTTTGTGTAATCCAGCGTTTAAGCTCTAGAAGTGCATCTCTTCACCACACATCTACACGTTTAGCCTTACACAAAGGTCCCATTATATCACAACTGATACGTTACAGTGACGTCATGCTGGGGGTGTTCTGAATGTATGTGTATGGCAGAATTTTCAGAAGTTACGCAATGCACACATTAGCAAACACAGCCAAAGTTCACAGATTTCACAGAGATAATTTGCTTGCTCACAGTTAATATCTACGCGTGCAAAATAATACAAAACACCAGAATACATTTTATCATGTGAGTGTATGATGGGACTATTCTGATGCCATACTAGGGCTGTCGCGATAACCTCAAAAATGAATCACCGCAGTACTAAGAGGCCCAGCGCGGTGCATGTTGGGTGATCACCGCACATGACCAACGTGACCTGACCCAGAGTCCTGCACGGGTCCATTTTTAGACCCGCACCCACCAGGGCCCGTTAACATTCCACCCGTTACCTGCCCGTGGCCGTGATAACCCAGGACTAACCCAGTTCTCTCTCTCATAAGTCCGCGGGTACCCGACCTGGTCCAGGACTCTGACCCGACCTGGTCCAGGACTCTGACCCGACCTGGTCCAGGACTCTGACCCGAGCGGCCACAGTGAGAGCTGGAGAGATGCAGCGGCACTTGTTCCAAAGTCGAATGTTACTTTTCCCATGCTACACACGCTATATCCGCAAGACAACAAAGGTGCATGTGCATCTGCGCAACAAGAGCATCATCGGAGAGAGTTTTCAGAGCCGATGGAAATATTGTAACTCCAGGGGATCACCGTGGTATCACCGTATACCGTGGTGTTGAGCTGCTATACCACACCGCAGGAGAAATTCCCTAACGGCGACAGTCCTATGCCATACTAAACAAGCAACTAAACTATAGGCGAGTTTCATTGTTGACAAAAGCGCGTGTTGCATGCTGAGAAATATTTTGGTCGGCAGCAAGAAACACGGTAGCGGTCAAACACAGTGCGTATCCTCGTGTATTTTTCCCCAATAATGGTAAATTCCTGCTGCATTATCGGATGCACAAATAAAAGCACGGAAGAAGGATAATGTCTTTTTCGTATTCCGAGTGAAAAGAACCGCTCACGGCGAATTAAATGGCTTTCAAACATTCGCAGAGCAAACGTAGAAGATCCTAGCAAACCGTGGACTCCAACAAGTTCAGACCGCGTATGTTGGGCCCATTTCTTGACAGGTTTGTGCATTTCTGTTAAATAAATTATTTTAATGTGTAATTTCAATACATTTTAAGGCGAAATGTGATCTGAATCATCCGGACTACACACCGCAACTGAATTTGGGACACAAATACCAGAAAAACAAGGTCACGCTCAAACGATTGCTGAATCGCTTCGAAAGACAAAACAAACAATTCCGTAGCGACGTAGCAACAGTTTCTGATAAATCCCAGGATGAAATTACCACATGTACTTCTTCACATCCGATCCTAACTCAGAATTCACAATTTCTCACCAAAACTCAGAGCCACAAACCAGCTTGAACGAACCTACTGAAAAGAGTGTTCAGACCGATGGAAATGGAATACAAAAAAGACATTTTCCTTCTTCCGTGCTTCTATTTGTGCATCCGATAATGCAGCAGGAATTTACCATTATCGGGGACAAATACACAAGGTTACGCACTGTGTTTGACGCTACCGTGTTTCTTGCCGCCGACTAAAATATTTCCCAGCATGCAACGCGCGCTTTTAACAATGACGTCAGCTGAAACTCGCCTATAGAACTCTAACAAAATAATTTAGTAAAATCTACCAAAAAATACTCTTGGTGATATATCGATATAGCACTCCCCAATACTGATATTGTATCATCACATTAAATGATACGATATATCGGTATTTTTGCACACCCCTACTTACAACTGTATTTGACCTGTCTGCAAACCTATGCATCACCAACTATCTTGTCTCAAAAGTGACTCATGTGAGCTTTAATCCACGTTATAATGTTACCTCATCAGAAACATTCCGGGAGTTGTGTGCGTCATGTTTGAGTAATCCTTTAATATAAGTCTGTCTGCATCTCCAAAATGCTCTTTTCTGCCGTACAATGTCATCAAATCCTAGTTTTCAAGTTCCTTTTACCTTTAGTTCAGTAGAGATTGGAGATTCCAGAGCTGAAATTATCCAAATAACTCTAGTGAATGTGTATGGGTTTTAAAAACACAACTCCAGGTCTGTTTGTGACGAGGAAACAACATTATAACATAGATCAGAAAATACGAGCCACTTAAGATTGTCATTCCCTTCACCACGCTGCGCTGAAATGTAAATGGAGGGAAGAGAAACCATAATCTGACCTCGTCTTTATGTCAGATATTTCCATTTTTAGCTCATTGTGTCGAACATTAAACTTTCCAGCGCTGACGGGCCTTACCTGTGGTGCACGATGTAGGTGATGATGGAGGCGAAGAGGCAGAGGAGCATGACCGCAGTGCAGGCATAGACGACCGGGTGAAGGAACTCCCCGGGGTACTGCGGAAATGACAGCACCTTCTTCAGATCCTGGGAACAGAGAGAGGAGAGGAAGAGAAAGAGGAGAGGGGAAGAGAAAGACACATAGATCAGAGGAATGCCACCTGGACACGGCTTTAACCTACGGCTTGACATAAAGAGAGGACATAAAGGGCTGCGCTCTGATCGCTTTAGGTTACAGTTTATGGGTGAGGGCTCTGAGAAGGACTGAGATCTATTTACCCACCACTCAAGGGTTTGCTTTTCGGTATAGATTTAGTCTGTTTGATTGGCACAGACACAGATAGGAGCCTCTTTTACAAACACACACGTCTGGCACAAGAACACAAAACCACAATTTTTGCATATGTTTTGATGCGGTGGTCTGGGATATCGGGACAGAAGTGGGTCCAAGGGCGTAGGTTTGCATGAGGCGGTGGAGACATGTCACAGTCAATATCTGAGGAAGATAAAATAGTCCTTACCAATATTTGCCATTTTATTTTAACACGTTTTAGTTCACATTTTGTTTATTAGACGTTCTGAGATGTATTCAGTGATATGACGACAGGGTTAGAGTGATGTCATTTGTGGAGCCAGGAGCCTAAACTGAGGAAGCGACAGGACAGGACCAGCACCCGAAGACGTCGGCTCGAGCAGATGCGAGTAAAGACGCTGCACCGCACTCTGAAAAACTTTTCAAAAGGAACTTACTTGGCTTCATCTTCAATTAAACTTGTCCTATAACAAGTCGCCGCAGAAAAAGAGCGACTATCTCCACAAGTGCACCTCCCAAACGGAGCCCTGTGGAAAAATGTTTGGACATGACCTCACAAATACCTCATCACTCATCAGCAAATGGAAATCTGTTACAAACTTCTACATCATTGTTATTCGCTAAAGAATCATCTTAGAAGGACAATGGACACAAACTGAAAAATGAAACCACCTCTCACTTATTTTAGACCTGCCCAGACTCTGTGTTTTTGGAAAGAATTCATAAAACATATACTGCTGATAATTGGGGTTGCTGATAATGTCCCCACCAAAGCTGAGACCAAACCTACACCCTTGAGTGGCACCCGGGCCGCCCACTCTCGCCCGAGGGTACAACAGTCCCCTCTGCTCGCACTCGCACTCACACAGAGCCTCAGTATCATTGTGTCTCTGTATCTCTTCATCCCAGCTCAGACTGACAGATCTAGACTCACTGATGTGACCTGCGAACACTGATTTTAGGCTTCTTTTCTAAAACATTCGGGGCCAACGTAAAGCGGCTCTAAGACCCTTTTACCCTTTCAGCTCAAACTACATTTTTATTCTCAAGCAACTTTGAGCAGTTTCACCTTCCTGTGTGAGGACTTGTTCATTCAAAAGATATATTAAGTTTCAAATTATTCATTGCTATGGCAACAGTGCTAGATTTTCATCACTCACGGCCCCACGGATCCTGTTCGTGCTGATTCAGCCACGGCCTCATCCTTATTTACCCTCATAAATATCTGTCTTACTATGAGTCCTCCTGATCCCACTTTAGCTGCAGTTCACTGTATACGTCTATAATGCCTCACTGTGGAACATTCCAGTCTGAGACAAGAACATAACAATGGCCCAACCAAAAATTTACCTAATACATCTTTAAACTCACCAAATATTCCACTTTCCTTCTCACCAAACATTCCTTTATCACTCAAATTGCCTTCAATAAAGCGGTGTTTTTTGGTTTTTTTTTTCTTTTCGGTTGATCCAGATTTTAAAAGTCACAAACCTTTGCAACTCAAGTCAATCATAAAATAAAGGTGGATTTGATCAAAATTGAACATTAATGAGGATATTTTATTGTTGACTGAGTGATCGTGTCTCTTTGAATAATTAGTATTACTCAAATTTTAAACAATGAAAAACAGTAATTGAAGCAGCAATAAAAGGATCCATAAGTCGCCTGTTTGGACATTAAAAGAGGCCCATTTCTTTCGCTTTCTTTTTCTGTCAGAACTGTATACTGCAGACCTACATGCAGATCGTGACAAAGGGACCCCAAACAAATATCTTGTGACCCACCTGAGCGTCATGACCCAGTGTTTGGGAAACAACGCACTAAAGCACTTTCTAATCTCATGGAGTTTACAAAAAGAAATTCAAATGCATAAAAGGTCTCAAGTATTTTAAACAGCCTGAAATCATAGACTTTATAAAGAAATGGACTAAGGAAGTGTGATGTCACCCATAGTTTTGGCTCCATTCAAATGAAGCAAGTCAAGGATAGAAGTTAGAGGAGCAAATCCAGAGCAGAGTTCCATATTTAGATAGACACATTAGGGATGTAATGATATCCGTTTCATGATATGCATCTGACTGTACGATATTTATTGCGATATTCTGGAGAGGCTAATATAATTGTAGATAAAACACTCTTTTTCTTTTAAAATACCTTGACAAGTTTTTGGTGTGAATTATTTCCGTCATAATCCCAAGAATTCAAGTAAAAAACATATCTCCTCATGTTTGCACTGAAATGAATCATAGGATATGTAGTTCCCGATATTCATAAGCTGTTGCTACTGTAAAACCATTCATTTAAGCAAACGTACTTGTAATTTGATATATTGTGACAGATTGTTACATCCCTAAGGTAGATAATAACTAGAAAAGCAGTCAGAGAGCGCAGACCTCCACCAAGGACTACCCCCATTTTTTATATAAATTGCGATAAAATCAGTCTTCTGGATCAGATCCGGATCAGCCTTTGGAATATGAAAGAGGATCCCACTGTCCATCCCTGAGTCAAATTTCATGGGGTTTGGTCAATAATTAACCGAGATATTGAGAAACAACATTTTTGGCCCCATTTACCACAATGTTAACTAAAATTTCAAAGTGATCCAGAATCCAGGATTTCTTCCGGATCACCCCCAAAATGAAATCAGTTCTTCCTTTTCACATTTCCAACAAATCCTGAAAATTTCATCAAAATCGGTCCATAACTTTTTGAGTTATGTTGCTAACAGACAAACAAACAAACAAACAAACAGACAAACGCCGGCAAAAACAAACAAATATTATCTATTTAACAAGTATTATCTATTTATCTTTCTATCTAAATATGGAACTCGGCTCCAAATTCGCCCCATAATTGCCAACCTTGACTTGCTTCATTTGACTGGAGCCAAACACTATGATTGACGTCATATCGGTTACTATTTGGAACTGCATAGCAACCACAGAGCCAATCCAGAGTGAGGCTGTTGAGGGTTATGCCGGCCTGCACCACCGCTGTAACAGGGCGCTTAACTACACTGTTAATGAAACCTGTGGGAGCAAAAGTCGTCTGATTTGTCTGTTATTAAAGTTCTTATTTTGATTTACAGACAAAAAAGTGAAATAAAAATGCTAGGATCATGTAGAGTGGGTTCAATATGAACACTTAAGACCAAAATGACAAGTCTCACAGCAGCAAATAAAGAGAGGGGCACCAGTTTTTCAATACAAAGTGAATTGGGGCCAGGGTTGATGGAGTCGGAAGCACGCCCATGCTCAATTCCAATTTGTAAGGCGGCTATGTCCATTTCTAAATACTTAAATGCATAGTATAGGAGACTTGTAAACTGCACAGTGAGACAATATGTATTTTTCTGTTCGGAGATCCAGCATGAAGCATAAATACAAACCGAAAAGTCTGTTCCAAATGAGCAGAAATAAGTCCTCTGCATTGACGCATTTGCACATTTACATTTGAGGCGTTTAGCTGACACGCCGTGCAGACAGGATGAGCTCCACAATAGCTTAAGCCTCCTCCACTGCCAACACGGAGGGACAATCACAACAAAAATGGAGAGAAGCTGAGTGAAAGGCAAGAATGAAGGCAAGTTAAGTCGCTTTCTGCGGCTTAAAGGACACATTGTTCACTAAGGCTCATTAAGCTCCTATCAAAATCTCAATGTGGGGCTGGCGTATCGTGACAGGTTAAATTTCAAAATACAGGGTTTAACTTTGTACTTTGTTAATTCAAATATTCAGGAAAATCCATCAGGAAACTGCAGTTCAAGGAGTTAACATGTTGTCTGCTATTGATAGTTTGCAGATGATTTCCTGGGAGTGTGAAGCTAACTGGAGGCACTGCTCTGTCTGAAGGTCTGTTACTCAAGTTAGACTTCAATCTGAGCTTCATTTTGTATTTTTTCTTGCGTTTTTAACTTTTGACGGTGTTGCATTGTGTCCCCATGCTGACTCTTGAACATCCCACCATAGGCATAGATGTACAACCCCCCCTACAGAGTGTCAATAGCATGAGACTGATCTGCGAGTACTAGGGGTGTAACGGTACATGTATTCGTGCCGAACCGTTTCTGTACAGGAAGTTCGACACTGTTAGCGCTGTGCTTTACTTTTTGAAAAGTTTTGTTCACTGTTTACAAGGAATTTTTTTTTTTTTTATAATATTTCATACATTTGTTGCTTATTTGAGAATATTTTATTTAACTTATTAGTATTACCAAGCAGCACTTTGCATTTATTTTATTTTCTCGTTTGTATAATGTTAAAACAAATAGTTGGTTTTGCATTTTGTTCCCATATGTACCAAAAATGAACCAAACCGTGACCTCAAAACCAAACCATGATTTTTGTGTACTGTTACACCAGAAGTGAGTACTGTTGGTATTCTGAGTACTACAGGAACTATGATGTTACTTTCATGCCAGCGGACAGCAGTAGTGTCTTGTCCATGGACACAATGGCAGAATGCAATAGTAAGAAAAGTGTGAAAACCTTTTGTGAGTAAAACTTCATGTTCTAGTTCCTTACAAACTGTGTATTGTAAATGGAGCTATTTGTGGAAGAAAAAAAAAAAAATGAGACTGAATGATTTTGTCTGTACAGTTTTTTGGCATTTTGATGGAAGAGAACCACGGGGAAACAAGGAAGCAACTGCTCGGGACAGACTATTTTATCTGTTCAAAGACGTTGTTAGATGAGAACCATATGGGAAACAAAACAAAACACAAAAGACTAAATGGTGGGAGCACAAAACATGTTCGACACCAATGACTCAA